GGACCAAACACAGGTACTGAACCCATGTTTTGTAAAGTGTGGGCATTCTCTGGCTTTTATTTCGGGCTCCTTAAGCAGGCTAAACACTTACTGTCTTTGGCATAAAAGTCTTTGGTGTGATACAGTGTCATGGCTGGCTATGAGAGCAATGTAAGTGTGAAGCAAAGATAAAAAGTGAGACTCCTTCCCACCACGGAAAAGAGGCCAATCCATAAAACTTTACTTCTTATGAGTTTGGGTTAGGGGAGTCGGTACTGGCCAGCACACGCCACTTGAGGTACCTACCTGGGGGTGCTCCCTCTGCCTGTGCACAGAGGAAGGTGGTGTCTATTCAACAAGGTAGTGGCTGTTGCACATGCACAATCTTGTCTTCCAAGAATGTAACATTTTTGGTGCATCTCATAGTAAGGGGCACCTCATCATCTCAGCAAAACCCATCTGAAAGGAGCTCACATGACTAATCCTGTCTGCAAAGGGAAGAGCAGAATCACGCTACAAAACAAAAGAGCTTGTTTTCATGTAGAAATGCAGTTCCTGTTTCTAATCTGCTGCAAGGGCTGTTCAGTCAATGAGAGGTGGCATTTCACGGAGCCAGTGCTGTCAGCCGGTGCCTCGCTGCAGTTGGTGCCCGAGTGCGTGTGTGTACCGTGCTCAAGCATCCTGCTTGGCTCCCCTTAGCGACTCACCATTTTCACGTGTCTAGTTCTAGCTAGAAAGTGGGTGGAAATGGAAACAAACATCAGTGGGATAGTGAATCCAGCCAAAATTAAATACAGTGCAGACACAGACTGCAATTACATGACGTTCATCATTCAGTTTGGGTTCGCTCACCTCTCTTTTCTGTGGGAACACAGCTGTCCCAGTCTGCCGAAGTCAGGTTTCTCCTGCGGAGCGTCACGAGACGTGGGGAGCGGATACGTGTAAAACAGTGCGGTGATCCCTTCCCCCCAATAATTCTTGGCTTTGGATTTTAGAAAGACCACAAACCCTTAGCTTATTACAAGTAATCCTGATCACTCCCGTAATGATACACTACATTATATACTCTCCTAAACTTAATCATTCAATATCTCACTTCCTTCCCTGTAGGCATATGCTATTATATTTTACACATGGATTCCAGCTGGTTTTCATTGTGGCCTTCAAATCATGTTTCAGTACAGTGCGACTTAAGACCAGTCACTTTATCTTTTAAAGTCAAGTTCCATCATACTTGTTTTCTTGCAAGCTTTCTACCAGGGCTGGTTAATTTGTTTGAAAAAATGAGTTTGTCTGTGAGGTTAAAGTCTACCTGAATGAACCTTCATAAAGCAACATCTCCTAAAGCCACTCTGTTCTGAAATGCTGAGAAGGCAGCCTGTAGAGTTTAAAAATGAAATCTCTTGAAGAGATGGAAAAAATAAGTCCTGTGGGCACGGAAGGAAATTTATATCTTCACATTTGGTTTGAAAGTAGATGGGGAGTTGGTGAGGAGGGAAGGAGGGGAAGTCAGCTCCAGATGTTGGTGGCTCTGGAGGAGGAGGAGGAGGCTGCCCCACCTGTGACCAGGGAGCAGTGGGGAAGGGCGCAGAGGAAGGAGAGGGAAGTGAGAAAGGGGGGCACAGTGCACCTATGGCAGGATGTGCACCCCAGCATCAGCTTTCTTGGGAAAAGGAAAGCTGAGCCTGGCCGCTGGTTTATCCCTTCTCTCTGAAGCCCACCGTACGTGTGGTGTTTCATGGGAGGTCAGACCATCGTTTGGGGGCTTACCTGCACTGGAAAATGCACTGTACTTTAGTCACTGGAGATCAGTGAGGTTTCCTTCTTTGCAGTACAGAAGCAGAGCAGCACTGGCCCAAAATCCAAAGTGTTACTGGAAGCATGTGAAGCCTGTGGAAATTTTACCTGCAGATTTAAGAGCATAATAATGCATAATAATAATGTGAAAATCTACAACTGCCAGAAATGGACAGTTTGCACTGTGAGGCTGTGGTGTGCAGAGCTGGATATAAAGTAAGCAAATTGCCCAAATTGACCAGCGTGTTTTGCAAAATGTAGTTCAAAGCAAATATTTAACAAAAAGGTAATTTAGGATTCATATTGTATCATCTGCCTCAACAGCTGATCTGTTTTCCATAGAAAGCTGTGCTCTCTTGTATTACATAGCCCATATTATCATAAGGAAATACAGAGCTGATCACGACCTACCGCTGAAGGAAATTCTGTGCACTAATCCATCTCTCTGTGTATCAGTATTGTTGTGTCACTGAAATCCTTCGTTAAGGCTGCTAGAAACCCAGAGCAAGCCCCCAGAAGCTGGTGAAATCCTGAGATTTATGTTATAAGAGTAGCTTTAGGTTTTTGTATTACTTAGGAGAACAGTAAGTGAAATAAAATACAACCTTCTTCTAATATTTTACACTGATAACCCCTGAGTTATGTGTTTTCTCTTCTGGAGAGGGTGGAGAGGTCACTCCAGAAAAGGAAGGGTTAAGTACAATTATTCTTTCCCTCCTGCTCTCAGCCTTCTCTTTGGTTGATTGCTTTATAGATGCTGTAGGCATCTCTTCATCTCCTTCAAATTAAACATTTTACTGCTGCTGATCCTGTATTGTTGGATTTTTTTCATCATTATATTTGATTGGAAGTCTTGTAACGTTTTTCAGGCTGGATCATTTCTCATGCTATTTGTCAACTGAAAAGGGAAAAAAAGCCCAATTCCAACTCCAGCAAGAATGAACTGAGTAATTCACACCCTTTCTGGATGTGTTTCTATCTCTGTTAGCTGCTACTTGAATTCAGCTTCTGATTAGCAATGCTGCTTGAGGCTTTTCATATGACGCTGTCTGTAAATTCCCTAGCAATTTATTTGTGGTGTTAAATCCTTTTCTTTTTGGCTGCTCTGGGCCTTATGGCGTCAGGGGACAGTACCAGAGGGTGCAACAGTGGAGATAATGTCGGTAGGGGCTGTGTAACAAATTTATGGGGCTGGGTCCTCAACTAGCGTCAGCGATCCCAGCTCTGCTGCTTTCAATGCTCCCTGCTGATGCAGGTACGGATACAACCCTCATCTGTCACCCCTCTATTTGGAAACGTTGGTCCTCTTTGAAAACAATCCATGGACAAAAAATAAATCCTCAAGGAGCTGCTGAGTGATTTCGTTCATTGGAACATTACGCTCTTTTATTACAAGACATGTAATAAAAGATAAACCAGAATATCTGTCATTTCCATTTGAGTTACTCCTTTCCCCCAGCTCCTTGGTTAGCTCCATTTCTATGACACCCTCAGTATTTACGTGCTTGGGAGGAAAATTAATCTATTGGCACTGAAACATGTTTGCAGCACTTCTGCCCACCAGTGGCTCTTGCCAAGAGTGTGGCAAGCCCTGCCTGTCACCACCAGTGACACCTGCTCTTAGCTGACAGTGTGGAGCTGCCGTGAAGCTGCCTCCTTACTCAGGTGCCTTCCCGTCAGTGTCACGAGCATTGTTCTGCGGCAGTGGCAGCAGAGACTTGTGCTGCAGTTGCCAGGACACGCAGTCGTGTGTCTGCACGTGCACCCGCTGCTCATCGAGGTGCTGGGGACGTGGTGCTGGTCCTGCCTCTGTGGCTGGTGCTGAGCAGCAGCTGGAGGTGCAGCCCCTCTCGGCCGGCCCGGTGCTGTCTGGTGCAGCAGCAGAAGGACAAGCCCTTGGCCAGGCAGCATCTCCTCCAGCTCAGCTCCCTGGCCATGCGTGTGCGCTGGGCAGCGGCTAGGGACTTCCATGTGCTTTACAAAAACTGTGACTGGAGATCTCTAATGTCATAAATTACTATGACAGCAGCGTTTGATGAAGGAAATGGATAAGGGACTCTTGGGCACAGAGCCTTTTTATTTATTTGCATGTATGGACAGGCTGATATTCCACAGTGGACTTCTCTCTTGTAGTAGTAACTTGAATACTGGGGCATTTTACTGGGGGCTTGGTACATGTGTAAAATTTAGTGCCAAATTTAGTTCTCAGCACATTTTCTTTTTCTTTTTTTTCCTTTATTTATTCTTTTTTTTTTTATCCTTTACAGAGCTTTAATGTAGGGTTGATTTTCCGAATGTTTCAGTTTGCAGCAAAGATGTTTTCTTCTTTGGATGAAGAGCCAGAATTCCCTCTTATTTGTGGAAGGAAATGTTTAGCCATATTGATTTTGTTCGCTCTGTAGTGTTGAGTTTTAATAATTATTTCTCTGCATCTGAAGAAACCTCTGGGCAAATGCAGCCCTCAATCCTGCAGGGAATTTTTGCTGGTACTCTCTCGTATAGATTGGGTTTTAAAGAAAGCATATGGCACGCCTCTGTATTTCTAACTATTTGGAGCAGGTATTTTTTCCCCTGGAATAAGGGCTGCACAAGGCCTTTTCTTAGTCATTTGAAGTGGCTGTTAGGAAGATTAAGAGCTACATATGCTTGCTTTAAACTTGTCGAAAGGAGATACTGCTGTTACAAGACTGAAAACTGTGTTTGCCCAGAGGGTTTCTCAGAATGGAGGGATATAATTATTTGAACTCAGAACTCCTCAACTAGAGGAATTAATACAGATGTAATACAGATAAATCTGTTCAAGAGATACATTAAAACCAGCTCTGTGAACCAACTGAACTGACTACGATGTTGCTCTTCATAGAAGGCAAATCTTAACAAATGTCTGGACTTTTTGGTCATAAGGCACCTGTGATGGATTTTAATGCCTTTATTTTGGCTATTTGATATTTCTTTTTATTACCTACATTGTGCATTTCTTACTTATTTTATGGTTTTATATTTATTTTATATTGTTTGCCTTTTATATTGCTTTCTTCTTTCAGTCTGTAGTTTCTGGTGCAGCTGTCTTACAGGTAAGAAAGATACTGGAAAATAAATATTAATTAGTACTTTTCTTCACCAAAACAAAGTAAACCCTGTATAAAGACCTGTAGAAGTGCCCTTACCTCAAGCACCGAGGGGGTCAGCATGTACATGAAGTCCATATCTGTTTGATCTTGTAGGTGCTGCACAGACAGCAGTCCCAGCCTGCAAAGGAGAATTCTCCACCTAGAGAAGAGGCTCCTCCTCCACCCGCTGAGGACAGTTGTGCCAAAAAGCCAAGATCCCGTACCAAGATCTCCTTGGAAGCTCTAGGTATCCTTCAAAGCTTTATCCACGACGTGGGTCTCTACCCTGATCAGGAAGCCATCCACACCCTCTCTGCTCAGCTGGATCTCCCCAAACACACCATCATCAAATTCTTCCAGAACCAACGTTACCATGTAAAGCACCATGGGAAGCTAAAAGAGCATTTGGGAACGGTGGTTGACGTGGCAGAGTACAAGGATGAGGAGCTGCTGACAGAGTCAGAGGAGAACGACAGCGAGGAGGGCTCTGAGGAAATGTACAAAGTGGAGCCTGAGGAGGAGAACCCCGACAAGAGCAAGGCGGCCTCAGCGGACATCGACCAGAGATAATGTGAGATAGGAGTGCAGAAAGCAATACATTGATCCAAGGATTTTCTGGTTTTATTTTAAATTTTTTTCTCTTTTTACATTTTGTTTGTTTGTTTCTGTTGCGCATGATCCATGTGCAAACCGAACGAATTCAGCATTGCCCAATCAGACATCGCCTTGACACAGACACTTGCGTGTTACACCTCCTACATTTGACTGAAGTAATCATTGTAATCACATAGGATTATGCCTTCATTAACCTTGCACTTATGAGAGGGACATCTAGCAAGTAAATGGGAAGAAAAAGTCCTATGAAATCAATGAAGGAAAATTCACAACTTTGTGTGTATATATATATATATATTTACATAAAATATATATATATTAAAATTGCATGGGACGGAACTTTACAACCTGAAAGTATAGACTGTGAAATGCGTTCTTTAAAGATGAGACTTGTTTATGTATTAAAACCACTTCACAATGAGTTGCTTTGGCTTTTTGATAAACTGCCGCCTGCTCTCAGGGTGTGGTGACTATTTTTGAATTCCTATTTATTTTCTATGTTATCCCTGATTTTTTTTTTTTTTTAATTATAATTATATGGCTTCCTATCTGGCAACTTGATGGGTAATTTTTGAGGTATGTATTTAAAGACGTAAATCAACACTGCCAAAAATAGAAAAGAGGGGAAAAAAGAGAAAATGGAAAAACAAATCAGGGCACCTTAAAAAGAAAACTAGTAAATTAAAGTACTTTAAACACAATGCACACTTAAAAGGATACAGCATGTTCCACTCTCCAGACAGTCCTTTCCGTAGTGAACAGATGAATTTTCATGGGCTTCAGAATGACTCAAACTGAAATTCAGTGCATAGAAGACTTGTCCGTTTATGAGGTCTTTATAGAAAGAGAAGAAAGATAATGTGTTGAGATTTGATGTATGGAATTCATACTATGAACCACATTTTACTGTGGATTTTATTTACCTGTTCTCTGTTTCAGATCTTAAAATTTATAAGCTTCCTTCTTGTTGTTGCTTTTTGTTTATACTGAGGTGAAACACACACACACACACAAGTGTAAAGTTACATTGAGACACAAAATGCCAGTCCCAACAATCCTGTCCAGGTGAATTGCTGACAGACCGAGGGTTTGCGTTGCTGAGTTCCCGTTCGCCCTTCTCGCCAGCCCACCCCGTGTTTCTGTTTTAGCTGGGCTTCCTCCGTGTCACGCGTGTTGTGCCGGTGAAATGAAGTGTTTTCAGCCGCGGGTCCCCCAGGCTGCAGCCCGCCTCCAGCGCACAGCGTCCGCGGTGCGGGCGCTTCCCAGCCTCCCTGCCGTGGGGGGCTGCAGGCGTGAGGCCCTTCACACCCAGCCACCTCCTTGTCGAAGGGTTTCGCAGCGACCGAGCTAGCAGCTACGTTACATAAAGCAGAGCTAATACTGACTGACTCTTCAATGGCCTGAGCACTAAAGCTGCAATCTACTATAGCGTCCACCCATTCTGAGGCATCATGTCGAAAGAGACACCAAGTAGCATTTACTTTTCACTTCTGTGCAATGATTTTTGAGACAAGACCTCACCTTTGCTACTCTTGCAGCTGGATTGATTTCAGACGCCTGTTCAAACCGCAATCATAACTCTACCAACAAGGCTTCTGGCTTTTTTCTTCCTTTTTTCACATGGGCTTTTCATGTAACCTTGAGAAAGACCTCATGCAATATCACTTTGCAAGTTACTTTCTGTTTACTACACCAGGCAATGTAATATAACTGTTAATACTATTTATATATTTGAAAGGTATAAAAGGTAGGAGTTAAAAACGAAAAAAAAAAGCCTCTATGTGTAGATATTTACTCAGAATTGACAATATACAGGGAGAAGACGTTGCAATACAAGCTAATTCTAGCTGCTCAGTAACCTCTGGAGTTTTTAAGGGATTTTTTCAAAACTAATGTTTGAAACATAAGAGTATCTGCAAAAATTTCATATACCTTTGCGAAATGATGGTGGGTTGCTTACTTAATGCCCTTTTTGCTCTTCATCTTTTATTTCTGTAGTATACTGCAGCTTTAATCAGAGTTTCAATGGTTGCTGCTTTATGTTTCTGTCAGAGCTACTCTTTCAAAACTGTCTTCTTATCCTGTAGCTGAAATCACTCCATACACGTGAAAGGAAACTGAATTTTGCCAAGTGCGTAAGGTTGTTCCTCTGATGATGGCATCAACATTTGGTATCTTTTACACTTCAACCAAAAATTTTATTAGGTATTTTTTCAATGCTGAGTCTTGCCTTTTTATTTTTAATTTCACTGCCAATTTTGCAGTGGTTCTAAGTGAATCTGTGGGCATTTTAGCCTGTGGTCTTGCCAGAACTTTGCGAATTACAATGCATATATGTCTATTTATTCAATATCCATCATATAATATCTATTTGGAGAAAGAAACTTTTCTTGTAGTGCCTCTTAACAAAGCACAATTTTCCGCCTTTTTTGTGAAATAAAAAATAAAAAAAACGAATTGTGTTTTATTGCGGTATCAACAATGTGAATAAGGATTAACATATTGTAAATGTTCTTTTTTCCATGTAAATCAACTTTATCTTTGTTATCACTAAGTGATAATTAATTTTTAACTTATGTGCATTGTTAGGCTGTTAGAATTTTTTGGTTGTTGAAATAAAACGCATTCAATAAATATGACTTAATTTGTCAAGTAATTTACTGGGCCTTTTTTATTTTCTGCTGAGTTCAAGTGAAGCGAGGTCTGCAAAATGGGGGTGACATATTTGCATATTGAAAAAAGAGTTGATCAGTGTTAGCGAGGTTTGAAAACCTGCGTCAGGCCCCTGGGGTCGGCACAGCTGACAAATCTGTATCACTTGGGACTGATCTGCTGTGTTACTGGCTTTTTACGTACACGTATGTGCACACGCAGAGAGTCTCCGGCCGTATTAGGAGGCGGGTGTGGATGCCATCAGCCCATCTGAGAACACACTCAAAACACACACACATAAAGATCCACTTCCAGTCTGCTGTCTTCTTTGGCTGGTAGATATTTTCTGTTTATAATTAAAAAGCCACAAATGACTGCGTGTCAGGAAACTTTTGGAGCACACATGTCCATGGTTAATGGACATAATAAAAGGCTTTATTATATTTATAGCAGGGCATCCTACTGAGTGTCTAGAGGAATGCCTGAAGGATTGATCTATGAAATGTGTGAAATGATTTTGGGGAGAATACAGATAAATGGAAAAAATTGCTCAAAATTCTTAAGCTAACAAAGTGGTGAGTGCCTGGATTCAGTCCTAGCAGACAGATCATATACTGCATGTCAGACTTGAGTTGTCTAGGAATTGAGGTAGAGCAATTTTTAATAGCTTTTTTTTTTTTTTTGTAGTTCTTCTTTTCATGGCTTATTCATATCCTATATAAAATATCTATGCACTCCCTTGAGAAAAAAAAATAAGGACAGGGGGGAGGGGGGTGAATTACCACATTTTTGTATACCCAGCCACCTGCTTGTCACTTGAATTTAATCTGGGACCAAATGAAAACAATCATCTTTGTGTCTGCTCAGGGAATGTATAGGCACCTGGAAGCTGTGTGCACCGGCATTTGGTTGAGTGCTGCTTGCTGGGGTGCACAACTGCTCTCGGTGCGCTCACCTCTGAGGGGGTCCGTGGCTGCCCGTGCCCCTTCCACGGGAACAGTAAACTGGCGCAGGACAATGTAACAAACCCTCTCTGTGCCAGAGATGCAGCCTGTTTGTATCAGGAGAGGGCTGTAACTCGGGGCAGCTGGAGCCTGGTGCTGGTGAGCTGCTTCTGCTCTGAACTGCGGGCGCAGTCCCGATGCACAGGGCAGGCAGGCCAGGCTGGGGCTCTGCTGGTCGTCCTGGGTGTGGGAGGTGGCAGAGGGCACGAACTGGCCTTCGAAACTGCACCCGCGCCCCGGGCAGATGCTGTGAAGATGCCGATGGTGTTGGATTGGGTGTTCTTTTCTGCCTGCCAGTGGGAGAAGAAACAAAAAGAGAAGCAGCTCTCACTTCACTGATAGGCAATTTTATAAATGCACTTTATGTGAATGTGGCTAAATAATATTTGGAGGAAGACACACTCACACACACACATATTTTAATTGGGGGGAAAAATCCTGTAAACATATGGATTCTTCTTCCAAACTGTAAAAAAAATCATTTAATAGCTGCTATAGCAGAAATATTTCTATTAATGCTTCTACTTCTCTATACTTTACATGCTGCTGCTCCTATATGTTGTTCATGTTTTAGTCATCCAGACATATGTATTTCCAATTTCAAACCTGTGTGAGTAAAAAAATAAACATTTTAAGATTATTTTAAAATGGTTTTAAGATTATGAACATACTGTCTGTTGCCTGAAGTTCACTGTTGCTTAGATAAAAGTATCCGCTCAATCTCCTCCCACTTACTTAGTAACCAAGTGTTTGCTCTAGATGAAATGGATCAGAATCCTCCATTGATGAAATTTTATTTCTATCCTGAACCTGCCAAACATGCAGAGATAAAAGCTCGATACATTTGACAGTGAGCAAAAGGCATTTTAAAATCATAAACGAGTCATTACAAAAAATCTCCACTTACAATATAAAGTGCAGTGATTAATTAAAGATGCAGTTTTAACTTATTTATAGCCATTAAAAAAACATACTGGTTTTAACACAAAATAACACCAGCCAAGTCATCCAGGGGAGAGATGCTGGCAGCCTGAGACTTGGGGAGCTGGCAATGTGACAAAGACAACAGGGAACAGCAACTGCAGGCCACCCTTGAAACCTTTGGAAAAGTTCACGGAAGGAAGGATGGAAAGAGGTGGCTCTGGTGCTCCTGCCCAGATCCCCTTTTTTGCTCACTTACAGACAGTTCAGGAGTGTGAAAGGCCCATCTCACGGCGATGGCAGAAAACCTGTGTGCACACTCCTCAGCTGTGGTGCAGAGGGCAGGGAGCTTGCCAACCAGAGAGCGCGCTGCCGGTGAGTCAGCCCCACCTCAGTCTAAAAGATGATGTGGGTGAGGGACAGACAGCAGCAGTTCAAGCACAGATTTCTGCAGGCTTTCCCTCTCCTTCCAAAATTTTTGGTTGCTGGTCTTGCCTGACTGGCGGGTGTGGTTCACTGGAGCCGGGGGAATAAGGGTGGTGGGAGGCAAGGTGAGGCTCACGTGCCAGGCTGGTGAGCTGTGGCTGCACTTCCCCAGCTGGTTTGGCGGTGGGAAAGGCTGCCCTGCTGCCGAGCCGCTCTCCGCGGCCGGGGGTCCCGCGCACGCGCCAGGCACGCAGCACTCCGGCCCTGCGACTGCCAGCTCTGCCAGGCAGCACGTGCTCAAAGCAAGAGTCACCCCCTCTGTCCTGCGCTAGTGTTTCAGGAGCTACAGACAGTTCCTTCTAAGAGGAGTGGTGTGATTTACCCTTCAGAAAGGGTCTGGTCTTGATTTGAAGACCTCAGGAGCTGGAAAATCTACTGTTGCCCTCAGTAGTTTGTTTCAATGGTGGTTTCTCTCCCTGCTAAATCTGTACCATATTCTAAGGGGAATTTGTCTGGCTTTCCCTTCCTGGTTTTGCTTTTTGTTAGGCTTTTCTTTTCTGGGTGAAAGTCCCAGGTACTGAAGGACATTTTTTGCCCTCTGAAGTAGCTG